ATAAATTATATCTAGGAATATAAGGCAAAATTTAACTCCAAAACGTAAAGTTTTTTAGTCTATAGTTGTCTGACTGTCAGGAATGTGTATCCAATTTAAATATCACAATTATATTTAGGAGGGAATTGATAGTTAAAGAAATTAGAATTGTTTAAAACGCTATGCTGATAAAATGGTACGTTATCTTGAACAGTATATATTAAAGGATTATATATAAAAACGTAAGTAGTGGCGTTAAACAATACTGTGGTAATAAGTGCGTTAGCATGCAAGTCAAGTAATAATTTGAGCATTAGGATACGTTAGAAGTTTGTTGGATATACCCATAAAATAATTTAAATGTTAATTGTTTCATTTTCTAAAAATCTCAAATATTTTGAAAAGTACCTGAGTCGAAGGCATTACATAGCCAATCCACTTCGGCAGAAGGCCATCACTAGCCATTGAATATGTGATCCGAGGCAAGGCATACATGCTGGTAAAGAGACTTGCACTAAGACCAAGAACTGAGCCAAATCCAGTGATGTAGGTTGCCCAAACTATTCCACGCGCTTCTAAAGCGGCAGTAAATGCGGCAACTCGATCAACGGTCCACCATGGAATAAAAAGCACTACGCCTAAACTTGCAAGTATAAAGAGTACTGTCACTACAGAAACTGAGACAGCGGTTGCTATTGGCATCGATTTCTTAGGATCAATTGCTTCTTCTGAGCTGACGGTGATTGCATCAAAGCCAATAAACGCATAGAAGCATGTTCCAGCGCCGGCGACCATACCACCAAATCCGTATGGAAAGAACCCACCATGTTCGGCTGGGGCAAAAGAGTAATTCGATGTGTGTTGAGGGTAGATCAGCATGATTCCAGTGGCCAAAACGAGCACAAGTAGGTTGAGACAAGTTACGACAGAATTGAGGTGAACCGAAAGCTTCGGTCCTCTGGTGAGTACGATACCCAGCAAAATTATAATAAGCGCACCGATGAAGTCGGGATAATCCCCTAGAAATTCAGCGCTCTTAGGAAATCTAAGAAAAGAAGCGATGATAATGCAAGATTAAATTACCCGCCAAAAGTCCGCATAGTTCCGTTGCTGATAGCATGGTGGGCCATCGTATCAATAGTGCCGCTCCAACCCCGAGCAACACTGGCTACTGAGAGAACATATTCCAAAATTATAGACCAGCCGATGAC